TATATATAAATATATATAAAATTATTGGTTCTAGCACTCAGACATCGTATGTCCTCCATTCTTTATTACCACCAGACCGCATCTCACGATCTCCAAATAATCAACAACTAACGGTCACTAATCACCACACATTCTTTATTACCATAACCTGGAATCCTATTTAACTGGGGCATCTGCATTAGCGTGACGTGCGGGACTGAATATTCAGATGATAGACTCATATAATCCGACGGCGTACGCAAGGCATCTGTCTTGGTCCCACCCTGTACACAATTTGTACTACCCACTTACTTTACATTATCACCTTGCGGATTCAACGTTTATTGATGAACGTGCAACGTTTATCATCCAGGAACACTAGCGCAAAAAGTGAAATATATGGCTGAATGAGAGACAATTTACCGGTTTGCATTTACATTGAAAAAACAATCTTGGTTTAGAATGATCACAAACAACAAACATACTACAAGACTCATGACACATCAACTTAACAAAAGACATGGACAATACGAAGAGAGACCAAATGCAACTGAGTCTATCCAAGTCTACGAGTAATCTAGACGTAAGGAGTAGAACTGTAAGGTTTCGCCTAACTATTCACCAGCAAATCGTTCAACCCATCATTCAACGATCCCGAAAGATTTCAGATTTCTTGCTTATTTTCTTTTGTAAGAACCAATGAGTATTGGTTGCGTTGTTTGGGTGTATTCCTGTACGAAGCCGAAGCTTTTGTATGGTATGGTGCATGTATTGTCTTTAAACTTAAACTCTTTCTACATACCCTTATTACCTTATAATTGATTCCTATTCAACTGACCCCTTCTTCAGAGTGAGTTACGCCAACGAATTCTCAGATATCAGATCAGTAACAACGGAAGCATAAGGGAACATTTTTGGTTTACCATTTAAACTGCTGAATTATTAATCATTACTACCTATGCGGATGATACCGAATCCTGTTCAATATTAAAAAAATGTAATAAATATTTGTTTTAAATTTTAGAATCGCAACTTTTTCGTTCAATGTAGTTTTTTGTTGTTAACTATATTTTGTTTTCGACATTTTAAATTCGCAACCTAATGTAACTGTAATAAAAACTTAATGAAAGCTTCCAGTTCATTTAATTTTTCCGTCCATTAAAACAGCCATGCCTTTTTTCAAATTACACATTGCAGTCGGAAACTAGGTGTAATTTACCTTTTTATTTTCATAAAATCTCTTAGTACTAGAAATTAACAGTATATCGTTCAGCACTACAATTAATTTCTTGTATTATCGTACAGAATCTACATTTAATCTTCCGACAGTAATCTTCTAAGAAATAAAACGTTACATTGCTTTTATGGCAAAAACAACTGTGCGTTTTCTCTCAAGTTGTTCGGAAATATTTTTTTTCTCATTGCCAGATCCAGGTTTTAACAACAAAATGGAGCTAATAATAATCCTTTATTCAATCTACAGAAAAGAGATTATTTTTAAATTATGTATAAATTGTCTGAACAGATATAATTGTTTTATTTTCAGATGTAAAGATTTGAAAGTCAACGTGGGTTTTAGTATTGGAATGGAAATTTCAACTTTTATATTTAAATGTAAATAAAAAATATCGGTACAGTATTATATTAAAAATAATATATGCGTTTTACTTGTTGAGATGTCAGTTAGTGATAACTTTTCCTCGATAAATATAGGTGGTAATTAAAAAAAATTCATATGCAAGACAGCTTAACAATTTATTCTCCCTTTCCTGGATTAGGTCGACCCAAATCCGGAAAATGGCGCTTCCGGCCGAGGTTTATTAGAGATTTCCCTAAGGCGTTTTCTGCTAGTCAAACAGAATTAGTTGGTCTGAATTTGTCGCCGATTTGTTTTTGTGCCATCTTTAATTGCGGAATTGACTACCTGCTTAAATTTGGCAAGCCTGTTTGGGACCAGTACACGATTTGCTGACAGGCTAAATCACAGTTCATTCACTTGATACAAAGATAAAGTAAGGCTAACACAGATAAAACTGATTATCTACACGTTTAAAGATTATTTTTCAAAAATCAAAATGAATAAACTATACAAGTGATTATAATCTATGCTTTCTTAAATAAGACTATTGATATTTTTGTAATGTAAAGTTTAATAATTGTAAACCGAACATATAAAATTTATACAAATTTACTTTGATTGTAACATGAACGTGAAAGAAATGTGGATTTGAGATATTAATGGCCAAGGCTAGTGGGTATCAATCCACATTTTACTGTTATTGGTACAGTTTTCTATCTTTTACCATCTCAATTTTTTGGTTTAACATTTTCAAGTAATAATTAACTTATTGTTTGATGCAATCTTTCAAACAACGAGAGCTGGCCCAAGAAGGCAGAAATACAGGAACAAGAATGCCCTAGTATTTTTGTAATTGTACCTTTTTTAACGGTAAATTTCTTCTTTTTCAATTAATAGACAGTTTCTATTTAAAAAAAATTATGTTTATTTTTTGTTTGAACAATATTATTTCTAATATTATCTGAAAAATACCATCACCATATATTATTAAATTGAATAACCATTACCCTCACCACCTGTAGGACATCATACAGGAAACTATTGTTAAACAACCTGCTTTAAATTGAACAGGCAAATGTTCACACCAAAATATGTGAGTGGTTGGTTATATAGTTCTACCTATGTTTTGAAGGAATTCATTAAACATTTTCAATGAGGTATATTCCACTGATTTCTTTAAATATGAGAACACAGCAATATAATTATATACATTTCTGCTCTTTATTGGTTAAAAATACATTAATTTTAGTATAAAAACCCTCTCCTAGTTTTAAAATGCGAACTTATTGCAATTGAATCAAAGTTACTATAAACGAAGTCATTGTCCAGGACAAGCTGTTTAAAAAATATGTACCTTACCTATAAGTCATTATACAATTAATTTTTTGTTATAATTGGAATGCTGTATCTGCCAGTCGGTCCAGTTTCTTCTGCTATCACAGTAGAAACGTGTATCATCAGAAAACATAACAGCATTTCAATTGGTGTTCTCTTCTAGGCACCCGCTGCACCTAAGGCAGACGATGCCTTTCCTTGGTTAAAGAGAATAAAGGGAATTAAAATCTAGAAAAGACGAGAAAAGGTGTTTGAGCACAAAATGAGTATTTATCTTATTCTCGTCTTGTTTACTACTCTGAAGTAAATCCGCTATTGTAAAATGAGAATTAACAAATTTTTTGTTTGTATATTACATTTTGTTTTATCCAACTAAAAAGAGCATATCGGATAAGTTAATTAAAATTAATAGAAGAATAAACATCAAATATCTGTAATTATTTTTGCTCAGTTTAGATATATGTTACAATCTTGTGTCTTTGGCAGATGATAATATTGCTTACCTACGAGTTCCCATCGTACAGATTTCGTTATACAACTGTTTTTTTAACTCTTTTTTCTCTCTTGATGTTCTTAAATTTCAGAGATCAACTTTAGTTTAAAATCAATAAAATGAGTGGAATTCTTCCTTTTTTTTGCTAGAGGTGTACTCACGTGTTTTTTTAAATTCTATTCTATAGATTCTGACAATATTTGTACAGTTATTTTATTTGCTCTGAGCCGGGGTATAAAAAAGGTTTGAATAATTCAATCGGTCGAACTTTTATGTTGACAACAACAATGTACGTTAGTAATTATGTGTGGTGTTTAGTGACCGTTAATTAATGATTATTCGGAGGTCGTGAGATGCGGTCTCGTGTGACGTAGGTTTTAGAAAAATACTTTCTATATCGTGCCAACATTTCGATCTTTATATTATTACTTTAGATCATATTCAGGACCAAGGATTTATAAACATTGTTTAAATTTTAGAAATACATGTGGGATGTGGAAAAAACCGTACATATATCATCATCAAATCACATAAAACATATAATATAACATATAAAACAATCATCACATTCCACACATACAACATTTCTACGTAGTCCAATTCTTCAACAATTTGGCTTTCCTTTCTCCTAATTATCCCCGTCTATATAATTCTGAAAAGATAATCAGGCCGAACAATTACTAATTTTTTCTAATTGTTTTTTCCTTTCGCCTCAAAGAAGCCGACTGCTCATATAGAAACGTTTTTCCATCCCTACTTCGTGCTCGACCCCTTCAAAATCCAACGTAAATAAACATAAAACATCAGTATCTCACTGGCACTCTCAACATGATACCGAGGAATGACACATCTACACAAAAAACAAACACTTTGAGTGAGTATAAATACTTTGATTGAA